GGCCGGGGGCCGTGGGGTTGGGAGTCTTGGGCTGTGGGCTGTGGGGTCCTGGGTCGTGGGGGCCGGTGCTCAGGCGCCGGCAGCTGACCAGGCTGTGCCCTGGGGCAGGTGGCGTGGCGCTTCTGCAGCCCTGATTTCTCCTCGGTCCTGGGGTTCACGGCCCTCGTCTCGCCTACCTTGGAGGGTTTCCTTGGCGTATGTCAGAGGAAGCTGTGAGGCTCCTCACTGCTACGGGACTTCGGGGTCCTGGGGCCCGTGTGGGAGAAGTGACCGAGGGCGGGGCTGGGAACCCGCTTTTGGAGACCAGTCACTTGGATGCGAGGTGACTTTGCTAACTGGCTCCTCACGGCCGGTTTCCCACCTGTGGTTCCACTAGGAGCTAATGGGCCTTCTCGCCCAGCCTATAGCTTTCAGCCCCAGTCACGGGGTGGCCTGCAACACACTGGCTTGGGGACCGGAGCTCTCCTTCCGCCCCAGGACTGGAAACTCTGGGCCGTGAGGCAGACAGTCTCCTTTCTGGGCCACATTACTTGTCTGTAAATCAGTGATACGTTTTTCTCTGCTAGTAAGGTTGAAATGAGATCATGTACGTGAACATGAGTAGGTTTAAAAAGATGAAGCTGCAGGAGGTTCCCACCCAAGGGCCTTCGCGTCTTCCGATTTCTCTGGCTTTTCGTGTGGGAGGCCCCTGGTCCAGCCCCTTCCCGGTCTCGGCCTGGCTGTAGCTGTCCAGGCTGGGAGAGTTTCTCACTGAGCTTGTGTGACCCAGCTGCACTGTCTTTGCAGCCCTACCACCGCCACCCTGCGTGTAGCCCTCACCAGGATCGGCTTCAGGGGAGCAGGGGTTTTGTTGGGTTCCCTGGAGCATCCTCAGTGTCTAGAATAGCGCCTGGCGCACTGTGGGCCACGGATTGGTCACTGTTGAATGAGGGAGCAGGCAGCTTCCTGTCCGGCTCTGCATGGCGACCCGCTACGCCAGAGCGGGTACGGGGTGTCTCTGTTGGTTACTCGGTTGGTCCCACATTGGTTGCCTCTGGGCACGTGCTGGTCTGTTGAGGTGCTTGGCTGGCTTCAAGCTTTCCCTTGGATTCAGAGGGTGGGGTGAGGCCCAGCGTTCCTAGTCAGCCCCCACCTGCTGCTGCGACTCCTCGGAGGGGTTCTGAAAGCGCATTCCTTTCCGCCTGGCTTGAGAATGAAAAGACTGACTTTGCACTCGTGACTGATTTCGGTTCCAGTGGAGCTTTTGCGTTGGTCCTGTGCTCTTTCGGAGGCTGAGTTTTCTCATCTGTAAAGTGAGGATAGTAAAGCGAGGACATGACCTTCTTCAGAAAGCTGATGGAGATCTTGGAGTCGATACTCAAGGGTGTCCGTTGTTCTGCCCCGGGTGTGTTTTTAGACGACGGCTGGGGAAGGATAAAGGAAGGAGTAAGTCTGATCTCAAGACAGTGGGTGCTGAGCAGGTGAGATGGTGCTCAAGCAGCCAGGAGAGGAGGGAGCCAGGCCAGAGGTGGGCTGAATCCTAAGTAGCGGTCTTGGGGTGAGACAGAGCAGAGCATTTTCAAGGAGTGATAGATTCAGTGCAGTGTGGCCGCAGCCCAGAATGTGGCCAAGTAGGGAAGCGGTGGCAAGAATTAAGGCTGGAAGCTTCTAGACTTTGAGAAGGAGGGTGGACTGAATTCTGAGGGCAGGGGGAACCCTTGGAGCGTGTGTGTTGGGGAGGTGGGGAGGGGGGCAGGTGCTGAACTAGCTCAGTGTGATTTGGACCGTGGTTTGCAATCCACTAGTGGTTATGCTCACAACCAGCATGAAAACCTGAAAGGAAGAGAGATTTTCCCAGCTGGTTCTTTGCCTGTCGGGTGAGTTTTAGGGTTAGCATGGCGAGTTATTCCCGCCAGCCCGCGCGTGTTTTGGCTGGGGTCACTTGGGGAGAGCTGACATCTTTGCAGAATTTGCTCTTCCACTGTATTAAAGCCTCTCATAAAGTTTTCTAATTTTCCTTGTAAAGATTGTACGTCTTTCATTAGATTTATTCCAGACAGTTCATTTTTTGATGCCATCATTACCCCCTTTTAAAATTCCATTTGCAAGTTGTTTGTTGTTAGGGATACAATTTCAAAAACCATTTTGTATTGAGCTGCCTTGCTCAGCTTCATTATTTCTAGTTATTTATCTGCAGATTGGTTTGGGCTTCTGACATGTGCAGACGTTTTCCTGGTCTCAGAGTAAAGGCCCCACGTCCACCATTGAGCGTGGTGTGTGGTGTCAGTTCTTGGAGGATCCCTTTGCCAGGTGTTCAAAGTCATCCCACCTTGGTCGTGGTATTTCAGTTTTTATGTGCATTGCTGGATTTGATTTGCCAATGTCTTGTTTAGGACTTTTTTGTTGTTCACCAAAATATTTCATAGAAAACAGCAAAAGACAAAACTAAGGAGCAGGAGCAGACGTGGGTAGTTGGCAGAAGTCAGCCAGCCGGGACGCGTAACAAGCTTGTACGGACCAGTGAGAAAAAGACTGATTTAAAAATCGGTCAAAGATAAACAGACTTGTCATGAAAAAAAGGAAACATAAATGGTAGTAAACATTTGGAAAGGAGTTTAACTTTATTATTTGCAAAATGAAAATTAAAACTGCAGCGGAAGGAAAAAAAATTTTATAGCAATAACAACAAAGAAAAAAACCCAAAATTAAAAAAAATGAAAAAAAAGGAAACTATGGGGGGATACCATTTTGACACCAGCTGAATGGACACGGATGTTAAGTTCAGCATCAGTAAGAGCGGGTGAGGCGCTGGGGCGGTGTGCACCCTTGAAAGCTGCTAGTGGGCTGTTAATCGGCACGACCATTTTTTGGTTTGTTTCACTTATTCTGTTTATCTAGTTTGTTTATTGGTACAACCACTTTCGAAGACTGTCACTATCTAGTAAAGTTTGACATACTGACCAATACCCAGCAGCTCCACCTGTCGCTGGACACCCTCCCATGATGCCCCAAGTGCCACAGGAGACCTGGACACAAGTGTCACAGCGTCGTTAGTTGAATGGCCGCAAGCCGGAAACAGCCCAAGAGCCCATAACAACAGAATAAACACCACAGTATGTGTACGCACAGTGGAACGCAGTACAGTGGAAAGGGCTGGGCCGCGGGTACAAGCGAGAGCGTGGCTGAATCCTGAGTAATCTGGAGCAAAGGAGGCAAGGCGGAAACGTGCAAATGGTGCTTCTGAGCTTTTGTGATTCCGATCCTAGAATTCAGACAGGAACGACGAAGCTATAATGTTCAGGGGGTGAAAGTCCGAACAAAAGCAAAGCAATGTTGATAAAAGGGGTGACCTGGGGGTGGAGGGGGGAAGGCAGAGGCTTATGATCAGGAAGGGCTGCCAAGGGGCCTTGAGGACGCTGCAGACGTTCTGTTCGCTGAGCTGGGTGACGGTTAGGAGGGTGTTCATCACTGTCGAGTGCGTTTCTCTTTAATGTTTCTAAAAAGGGAAGAGGGCCCCTCAGGTGTAAGTTGGTCCTATTTTCTGATATTTTCATTTCAGTCACACGCACATGGTCATCATATAAGATTTATTTCTTATTATGGATCACAGTAAAAAAAAAAAAGTTTGAAAGCTGCTTGTGTTAGATGGAAGATTCCTCCCTAGCCTGTAGTTTGAAATGGCCAGTAGCTCCCATCATGAGCATCCTTCCCACACAGGAATGTGTGCTTCTTAATGCAGCTGGAGCGTTAACGTGCGGGTGGCTTCAGGCGGAGGTGATGCGTAGGCCCGCCAGCCCTTTTCATGTCGGGTCAGTGGC